AAAAATAAAAAGTAAAAATATGACATAAAATGTATAAAAAGGATAAGAAAGAAAATCGGGAGATTTCACCTGGAAATCCAGATACCTAATTTTCCTTGAAGAACTGGAATGTCTGGCAGTAGGGAGGGACATTTATCATATATCATTGCACGTGCACTGTTGTCAGCCTTACACCTGGCCTGCCTGGCTCACTGTTGTTACTTGCCTGACTCCTATAGGCATTGAAATTTGCATCCCCAAACTCTGGCCTCTGACTCCAAGTCCCTATCTAGACATTGCCAAGTGAAGTGGCAGAACCACATGGGGTCCATGAGAATTGCTAAGACCACAGGCAGGAGGAGGGAGGCTCTTGGTTCCTAGAGGACTTATTCTGTGGTTCCCTGGAGCTTACCACTTCACCTGTGAACCAAGAAGAGAAAATAGGAGTTCTTCATGTTATGGTCTGGAAAAGCCTTTCTGAAGTTGCACATAACGTTTCTTTTTCTCTCTGGGCCCTACCTGATGCTCACTAACCTTCCAAAATTAAAATATTAAAGGGTACTGTGATGGTTTTGGTGGAGGGGGTGTTGTTTTCTTTTTTTTGTTAATCCTCAACCAAGGATATTTTTCCATTGATTTTTAGAGAGAGTGGAAGGGAGGGAGGAAAAGGGAGAGAGGAAAAAAGAGAGAAACATGGATGTGAGAGAGATGCATCAATTGGTTGCCTCTTATACGTGCCCGGATCAGGCCAGGGATCAAACCTGCAATCCAGGTGCATGCCCATGACTGGGAATTGAACTCAAAACCCTTTGGTGTGGGGCAAACAGTCTAACCATTGAGTAACACTGGCCAGGGCTCTGATGGTTTATCTTATGTCTCAACTTGGCTGGGCCACAGTGCCCAGATATGTAGTCAAACATTATTTTGGATTTTTCTGTAAGGGTGTTTTTGGGTGGGATTAATATTTAAATCACTGGGCTTTGAGTAAAGCAGATTGCCCCCATAATATGAGTGGGACTCATCCAATCAGTTGAAGGACTGAATAGAACAAAGGACTGAACTCCCTGGAAGAAGGGGGAATTCTGCCAGCAGGTGGCCTTTCAACTTGAACCACAACATCATCTCTTTCCTGGGTCTTCAGCCTGACAGCCTTCAAACTGGAACTGCAGGTTTTGGACTAGCCAGGTTCCATAAGCACGTAAACGAATTCCTTCAACAAATAAATACAACAGGGGAGCATGGTAGAGCTTGGCTAGCCCACAGAGCTCAGCAGAGTCCAGCCATGTGAAACATAGCAGTCAGGATAAGATGGTCCTGTAGACACAGCTTATGACTGTATCTTGGATGTGTGAACTATCTACCCCAAGAACTCTGGGTCACTTCTTTCATTTTTAATCCCTGCTATCCCTCCTACCCCAGGACAGGGTTTCACAGAAGGGGAACAGGGAAAAAACATTCAGCACTGGTCAGATGAGGTGGGGTATATCAGTAAGAGCCCTAGAAGAAAAGGAATGGCACACTCAGAAGAGCTTATTAAAGAGGTTCTTTAATAATATATATATATATATATTCAAGTAAGGACTAACAACAGCAGGAAGCCATTACCATCTCTAAAACTGAAGTGGCACAGGGAGGAAATGGTTTTCCAAGAGACCATTTAGGAGAAGGAGCTGTGGAACCAGGGACACTAGATAGAAGCTGTAGTCATCAAGGAACACGGCCATTGCCAAACCATGCAGTATTAAATGTTTGTGGCTAAATAACCAATTATTCCAAAGCCTAGTGCTATTCCAACAGCGTCATTTCTTATCTCTCGGTTGCTGTGGGCCAGGAGTCCAGGTGCAGCTTAGCTGGGTCCTCTACCCAGAATCTCTGACAAGCCTGCAAGAAGTTATCAAGGTTAGTTACTAAAGGATCCACTTCCAAGTTCACTCACACTTGTTGGCAGAATTCACTTCCTCAAAGATTGCTGGACTGAGGAGCCTCTATCCTTCCCTGGCTTCAGGCTAAGGCTGCCATCAGTTCCTTACTACATGGCCCTCTCCATAGAGCAGCTCACACCACAGCATCTCACTTCACTGGGGAAAGAAAGCTGAGAAGAGAGGGAGGGAAAAAGAGAGGAGAGAGAGAGAGAGAGAGAGAGAGAGAGAGAGAGAGAGAATAAGCAAGATAACAGTCATAGTTCTTTTGAAATTTTTTTAATTGAATTTGTTGGGGTTATATTGGTTAATGATATTATATAGGTTTCAAGTGTACAATGAGGTTTTAATACAACATCTATATATAGTATTGTAGTTCACCACCCAAAGTCAAGTGTCCTTCCGTCACCATTTATTCCTCCTTTTACACTCTTCTACCTGCCTTACCCTCCTTTCCCTCTGGTAACTATCATACTATTGTTGCTTAATCTCTTCTCCTTTTTCACTCCACCTCCCAAAACCCCTTCCCTCTGACAGCTGTCAGTCTGTTCTCTCTATCTGTGAGTCTGTTTCTAGGTTATTTGTTTTGTCCATTAGATTCAACATATAAGTGAAATCATATGGTAGTTGTCTTTCTCTGACTGGATTATTTCACTTAGCATAATACTCTCCAGGTCCATCCAACAGTCAGTGTTTTATAACCTAATCTCAAAAGTGACAGACATCCCATCACTTTTGCCATTTTCTTTTTGTTAGAAGCAAATCACTAGATCCAGCCCAAGTTTAGACAATAGAGATTACTCAGGGTATGTTAGGAGTCTACCTACCACACATAACAAAGCAGGGAGGTAGCAAGAGGAACAAATGCCTTGACCAATCTCTCTTCCCATCCTCTGATCGCCCATCATTGTCTGCCATTGACCAAATTCAATCAGAGGCTAGAGGGCAAGGAAGCCAAGGTGACACAGCCCACAAAGGTCATCCTTCCAGACAGGGCAGAGATCGTCAGATAATGGATCTGAGACAGAAAGGGGAGGGAAGTAGGATGGACAGAGAATTACCAGCACATGATAAAAGACAGATGGGCAAACTGACAGTCATCATGGAGGTCAAACACCCTAGAAGACAAGTCCCTCACCCAGATACATGGGATGCATCTCTTTTCCTTAATATACGAATCCAATTCTTTCCCAGGCCCTACAATTTAGGGTAACATTGGACTGGCCCTGTTATAAAGTTATGGAAATTTTTCTATAGAACAAGTGTCCCTGCCTTAGACCCCCCCCCCCATTTATGTCAATACCTGCCTTTTTAATGCCTGGAGCAAAGAGGGGGATTAGGAAAGGAAAGGGAATGAGCAGTGACATTTGGAAAGAACTTGCTCTGTGACAGCTCTAATGTTGATGCCAGAGTTCTAATTTCCTCTTAGAAAAAAACTTGTGCAAATATCATAGTTTGCTTCTGTTGGCTTTTTTAATGTGCTCAGGTAGACGGTTTGGGCTCTTGAGTCAGAGCTTCTCCTTCTCTAGTGTATACATGGACACACACACATGCACACACACCCTAGAGCACTTTCTCCTGTCCCTCAGCCCTCCCCATCACCTTCAAACCTCCTCAGGTAGGCAGTCAATTGCCATGTCCTGTCCCTATGTTAATTGAATGCCTTCCTCTTCTTCACCTAGTGACCACCATTAGATACCGATAAATTTCAAATATCAAACCACACAGGGAGTTAGTGGGGGCACAATTACTTTAACCCAGGTCCCACACCCCATGTGAGGAGCAGATCAGCTGCCTGAATGTGATGGTTATCTTACTGGAGGTTAAGGATGGGTGAAATGGCCTGAAAGAACTCACTCCTCATGTCAGTAATGTCCCACCTCTATTTCCTGTGGAGATTAATGCTCTGAACCCGGCCACCGCAAACACCCTCCTACCCCCTTGTCCACACGGGTCTGTAGAACAGCTGTGAGGCAGGGAAGCCTGCAGGAGCACCCAGGGCCTGGTGAGAACAAGCACCCAGCTAATGGAAAATCACAAGTTGGTATCCAGCACCCTATTCTCCACCTGTCAGTTCCTCAAGTGGCTCTTGTTTCTTCTCAGCCCCTTTCGATTTAGCACTTAGCACCAGCCTGAATCAAACCCACCCAGAAAGATGAGCCCTCTCAAAGTTTAAGAATCCCACACATCTCCATAGAAATGCATTGTCTATAAAATGCTTTGCCATATGTTATCTCACCATTCTCCTGTACAGGATCCATAACTCCTCAATGACAAATGAAAATCCTAAAGTTGTTTAGCATATGTCAGTTCACTGTCTTATGTATATGACAAAGCCAGAACTCAAAATCCAGGCTTCTTGGTTACCAACTCAGGGCAAGAAGAATTCCCAAGTCAAAGAGAATTATCTGCTTTTCTGACTGTGAGTCAGCTCCCTACGGGAAGGGAGAGCCAAAGTCCAACTTCAGTGAATGACCAGCTTCTTTTAACCAGGAGATCCGCTCAGAAATGTGGGATCCCATTGCTTGGACCTGAGCATAGAGACTGACAGGGGCCCATGTGGGGCTGGGGGAGTTCTTCCTATGGGATTAAGTGCAAGAACAGAGGACAACTCCAGAGAAGGCACCAGTGCTTTCAAAGCCATGTTCTCAAGAGGATAAAGGAGCCATCAACTCAGTCCCCAAATGTGTTCTGAGTGTGGCCACCCCAGGGAACAGGGCTCACTTAGCCTGGAGAAACCTTCAAGCCCCTGCACTGAGTCCAGAGGAGATCTAGGCAAGAGGTTGGCAATGTGGTCCCCCAAGCCCCCAGCCTCCTCCAGGAGAGATGTCAGGACTAAGAGTCCTACCAGTACCCTCAACAGACACATTTTAAAATCTCCCCAAACCAAACCTGCTGCTTCCAGTCCCTGAGATCCCAGAGATGTGAACCCAGAGGGCAGGTGGGTTGGAGAAGGAAAGAGAAGGTTCGTGCCAGGTATCTGCCAGCCCCAGCTCATCCTTGTTGATTTAGCAGATGACAATCTGGGGAAGAAAGGGAGGAGGAGGAGGAAGTCACACCCCTCCTAGTTTGTTTCCCATTGGCTCTTGGCGTCCTTAAAAGGGCCCAGCAGTCCCAGCACTGTATTTGGGACCCTCTGAGGATTCTGTGGTGATACACACTCCTGAGCGTCAACCATGAGATTCACAGCTCTTCTCCTTCTGGCAGTGCTGGCTGGGGCCCTGGTCTGTGCCCGTGAGTATGGCCCTCCCCCTGCACCCACCAAAGCCCTCACAATCCAGGGAAGCCTTAGCTACTGCCTTTATTCCTCTCTTTCTTTCCCAGTGCTGTGCTGGCTTCTCTTCCCTCTGCAAGTGACTCCTGCCCGCTCCCCACCCCCAATTCTCCACATGTGGCCTATTTACCTCACTGCTGGGGCTAGAGGGAGGGCAGGAAACCTCTGGCCATCTCCTCACACATCCTCCTTTACCCCATATAATGGTCACACTGGCCTGATTGCAGGGCCTCTGGGCCACTGAATATAGCTGAGTAGGTTGTCCCATGCACAAGGGAACCAGGCAGAGAAGGTGATGGAGCCCGTGTTCCACTTGCCGAGCAGCGTAACCTGCCCATGGTTATCTCTCCGGATGCCTTTTCCAATTGCACAAAAGCACTATTTGGGCCAGGACAACCCTGCCACTCCTCAAAATTTGGGACCTTCCTTCTTGCTCTTTCTTCTCCCTGTCCCCTTCCCCAGCCAACTCTGGATATCATCCAACCAGGTGCTTTTTCATCCGTGAAATCTCACTTTAGGTATGAATTCTTCAAGAAAGTCTTCCTCAAAAAAATGTATGAAGGATCAATTAGACCTCTTTTGCCCATGTTACACCATCTCACCTGGAACTAAATAATTACGTTAGAATGTTAGCTCTGTCAGGGCGGGGTCTTATCTACCTTCTTCATCGTAGAACCCCCTTCACTTAGCAGAGAGCTTTGCATAAAGGTTGTGTTGAAAGAATACGGGGAATTAGAGCTGGAGTCCTATCCCATGAACCACCTGAGCGTGACCCAGTGGCCTCTGCACCAACCTCCACCACCACAGGCCATGGCTGGCTCCCTGACACTAGCTTAGGGCACCTCACAACCTAGAGGCACAGGAGGAGGGCAGTTTTCAGAGGAACATCCACTTTTCTGAGGAGAACCTGCTTCAAAAAACTGCAGGGGGAGTTAAACATCAGAAAGAATGCTCTGATGGACCCACTGGTGTGGCAGAAGGACCTGTTCAGCCAACAGTGAAATCTGCCCCCCTGTGTCCACAAACGTTCCTGAGAGCTCAGGATTGCGGATGCGAGGGAGGATGGCTCTGGTGTGGATCAGGTTCAGTCCTCATAGTTGTCTCTCTTCTTGGTTACAGAAGATGCCACTGCTGGTCCTGCACAACCTACTGAGGACCCTGCGAGCTGTGAGTTCTCTCCCTCTGGTCCCTGCCCTGGGGAGGGTCGAACAGCTGGGATGTCAGTGGAGGCTGGGGGAGGAATTCAGGGAGAGGGGACTGGGTCCTGATCTTGGTGGTAATAGAAGAGCATGGATTGGGGTGGGACAGGTGTAGGGAAGAAGCAGGAGAACTCATACAGGGAAGGTTAATGGGAAAAGGCTTTTGTGAATAAAAGGGAGAAAACGATAAGGTAAAATAATAATTGCAATGTCCCATGCAGTATGCAGACCTTTACCTGTAAACAGCTTTCGTGACTCCCAGCTCCTTTGCAAGGTGCCCACTATCTGGCCTCAGACCCCATTTCCAACCTTCTTTCCCATGCCTCTCCCTCATGTACCACCCATATCTGCTAAATTTCACTTCTTTGCATTCCGCCCACCTGCCCCACACATGCCTTCCCCAGAGCTCTTGCTGACTCACTTCCTGCCCCCAAGGAAGCCCCTTTAGAACAACCTCCCTGCCAAAATCCTGTATTCAACACCCAGCTTCTCTCTACCATGCTCCCTGATTGCCCCCACACTCCTCTCCCAATTCCTCCCCAACCATGCCCAGAACAAGTGCCCAGCCTGCCCATCTCCCGAGAGGCTCTGTCTTAGTACATTCGGGCGGGCTGCTACAACAAGCAACCATAGACTGGCTTGCACAGCAGAAAGGTATTTCCCATGGTCCTGGAGGCTACACGTCTGAGACCAGGGTGTCTGCATGGTCAGGTTCTGGTGAGGACCCTCTTCCAGGTTGAAGCCTGCCAACTTTTCATCGTATCCTCACATGGTGGAAAGAAGGGGAGAGAGCTCTCTGTGGTCCCTTCCACAAGGGCACTAATGTCATTCATGAGGGCTTCACCTCATGACCTAATTACCTCCCCAAGGCCCCACCTCCTGATACCATTCTGTTGGAAGTTAAGATTTCACCAGATGCACTGGGGCAGGGCAGTGGAGTGGGGGGGAAGAGTCAAACACTCATCTATAATGAGCACATAGTATGTAGAAATCCCACATCTCTTAAGAGGGAGAGTTTATGCCATATCATTTCTATAACCTGGCACCCAGAACATATTAGGTATCTGAGGCCCTGCCACCCATTCCTAAGGAAAAAAAAAACACTTGACTTTGCTAAAATCAACAAATCTGTGTGTTTGTAACTCCAGTGCAATCTGATGCACCCCAAGAGACAACCATAGCAGCCCAGACTTCGGCGGCAGCCCAGGAGCCAACCACCAAGCAAAGAAAAAACCTGGGTAAGTCTCTGTCTCTATAACAGATACAACCCAAAGAAATCTCTGGCAGCAGGTCTACATGATGCCTCTGTCCACAAAGACAAGCCCAGAAGAAGCAGACATTCATTCATTCACCTGAACACAACGCACAAATGAGGTGAACCCTACACCCAGAGTCTCTGCAATAGTAGATTTGGCTGCCTGCACTATACATGGTTTCTCTCCTGGCCCACTCACTTTCCTATGAGAGAGAAGCTGGGCCCCTGAGCAAAACTTCTGCACTTTAGGAATTTATACAAGGATAATGGGGGAAGAGAGGAAGAGGTGGGAACTCTCTTTAAATGACATGGCTTTTCTGCTGATGTGACTCTTCTGCTCCAAAATTAGAATCCGTGATAGAGAAAGGTAGATCGGACCTAAAAGGTGTCATTGCAGGAGCAAAAAAAACGGTGGACGAAAGAATTCAAAACGCTAAAGGTAAGTGCATCCTATGGCAAAGCCTTTTGGGAACAGGAGTGCTCACCAGCCACCAGCCACGAGCCAACTGGGGAGGTGGGAAAGACCATGCCCTCACCACCACCCTACACAGGAGATCTGGGACTACCTCAGCCCCTCTCCATTGAAATTTCCTTCATTTGTGCCTTCAAATGGCTCAAATTTCTCATCCACATTCAAAATGCATGGTTGTCTGATACCAGATGCCCCTGGGGTCCTACCCCCAACCTTCCACTGCAGAGCCTGCTTGCTCATTTCTCTTCCTCTCACTCCTGCCCAGGTTGGGGGATAGGGCTCATCATTTGGCCTCCTGTGAATCTAACCTCCCTCCCTCTGACTTCTGGGTCAGGCCTCAGGGGTGCAGTGAGGTTGGAATGAAGATTGAGTTGAGGGTGGAATGTGTGGGTGGTGCTTTCGGCCCTTCAAGCCTCATTCCCATCTCTGCTTTCTTCCAGATGCTCTGAAGAAGAGGTTGGGTCCAATCATATCTATCATTTGAGAAGCTATAAAGAATGGGATCTGGGAATTTAACGCCTTAATCATGTGTACGGCTCAGAGCAATTAAATTGAAAGCATTCAACTTGTTGTGTGCCTGTGTTCTGTAGGGTGGGCCTGAGGGGGAGGGAGGAAAGCCCTGCCTGGAGCCCATACCCTGAGCCGGGCACAGCCCACTTTCAGGACACTGCCTCTAACAAGCCCTTTTAGTCACACTGAGCCACAGCCACATGTGCTGGGCCTCCTGCTCCAAATGCCACTCGGTTCGGTCTGCCTCCTCCTTCTTCTTCACACAGGGCTCCTAGTGACATTTGAGCAGTTCCAAAAATTAAATCAACCTCCAAAGAGCCAGGATTTGTCATCCTGAAAAGAGTCAAATCCTGAGTTATTGCTACAAAAGCCACTTCCTTGTGGCATTAGTAAAAACTGCATCCCTCCTGCCTTCCACTCACAATTTCCACACCGGGCCAGTTGATTTACTGAGCCTGGCTGGTGTGGCTCAGTGGATTGGTCATCGTCCTGTGCACTGATGCGGGTGTGCAGGAGGCAGCCAATTGATGTGTCACTTTCACATTAATGTTTCTCCCTCCCCCTTCCTCTCTCTTTATAAATCAACAAAAAAGTTGAGAGAGAGAGAGAAATTGGGACACAGACATACACAGAGTGAAGATAATGTAAAGTCACACAAGAATAGATGGCCATGTGACCAAGGAGGCAGGGACTGGTGTGATGCCAACACCAGGAACAAGAAGAGGTAGAGAAGGGTTCTTCCCTACAGGTTTCGGAGAGAGCACGGCCCTGTTGACACCTTGATTTTGAACTTTTAGCCTCCAAAGCTAAGCGACAATAAATTTATGTTGTTTTAAGTCATCCAGTTTATGGTAGGAAACTAACACACACCCCTATGCCCATATTCAACATCTCAGCAGGCTACTGGTTCTTCTTATAACTGGAAGGTCACAGCCTTTGGCCACCATCACCCATTTCCCCCACCTCCTAAGCCCTGGCATCCGCCAATCTACTTTGTTTCCATGAGTTTGGTTTTTTAGATTCCACATATAAATGAGATCATAAAGTATTTGTCTTACTCTGACGTATTTCTCTTAGCACAATATCCTCTAGCTCTACCCATGTTATTGCAAATAGCAGAATTTCCCTTTTTCTCATGGCTGAATAATAGTCCATTATATTGATATATATGTCTTTTAGTTTTTACTGCACAGATCTCTTTGGTTAAATTTATTTCTCAGTGTTTAATTCTTTTATTTCAGTATGTTTTTTAATTTATCTTTATTATTGAAAGTATTACACAACTTCCACCCACCTCTCCATTCTCATCCTGTGAAATTAATGTCCCCACTTGTGCTACCTCTTTACCAGATATATAACTCTTCAGAACCAAGTCTATGTGTGATCCATCTCTATATCCTGATACTCAATGGATAATAGATGCTTACTTCACAAATGGCTTGTGTATTTAAAGATGGAGATTCATGTAGGCACCGTCCACTCAGGCCCATACCTGCGCACACTTCTCCCATCCTCCCCACTGACAGTACCCACACAGGCTCTTGTGATATCTGCCTTCCAGCACTCCAACACACCCCAGGTCCTCCCCCTTCCAAGGAGAGAAAACTTTAACCATCTCGCACCCAAATCTCTGTGCTTTGGAAGGTACAGTGACCATGACAAAGCCTGATAAAGGGGAAGCAGTTTCCCAGATACTGTTTCAGAGAAGAACCCAGGCCCAGTGAGATCTTTCACCCCCTCAGACAACAGCAGCAGTCCAAAGGCCCTAGCAGACCAACAAGGAAAAAAGGCATAGGCAGCTTCCCCTTGTGGATGTTACTTTAACACGTTACCTTTGTTGGGGTGTGGGGAGCAGAAGGTGGTCTCTCTGACACAAACCACTCAAGACACATACAAATTCATCTGTGTCCAGCTAAAAGGCCAAGCATAGCTTTCCACCCCCCTTCCCACCTCCAATTTCATGAAATGACAAGAAATAATAAACAATTTTAAAAGGATTATTTCTGGATTTGCAATTGTTTTCCTAAGTTCTAAGTTTATGGAGGTTTGATGTTCAGCTATGAGTGATATTCTAAATCATTGATTTTCAACTGGTATGCCACAAGAATTTTTAAAACATGCGATACCTGAATATTTAGTCAGGAGGAGCACTAACCTCTTTTCCCTTAAATTGTCAAATAAAAAAAAATAACAATGGCCAACACAACAACAGCCATCCAGTGTGAATGAATCAAAATATATCTCTTTTTTTGTGAGATTGACAAAAAATATATTTTTGCTATGCTGCAGAATTTGAGTAATTAGTTTATATGTTCCATGAGCTGAAAATCACTGTTCTAAATAAGTTATATACAAATTAATAAGAGAAAAACACAATTCCAAATATAATGAGAAGGAATAAAGATATATCCACCAACATCTTATCTCTGAAACCAGTTGAATTGATTTACCACAAGAAAAACAAATACAGATCTATTTATTCCATTTTGAATAAAAATGGAGAGGACTTACAACCCCAAATAATACTTTCCTTTTTCAGTCTGTAGGCCGACGCTCTATCCACTGAGCCAAACCAGTCAGGGCCTACTTTCCTTTTTAAAAAATATTTTTTATTGATTTCAGAGAGGAAGGGAGAAAAAGAAACATCAATGATGAGAGAGAATCATTGATTGGCCACCGCCTGTACACCCCACACTGGGGATGAAGCCTGCAACCCTAGCATGTGCCCTGACTGGGAATCAAACCATGACCTCCTGGTTCATAGGTCAATGCTCAACCACTGAGCCACACCAGCTGGGCCCAAATAACACTTTTTATGAAGAACTTCTGCCAAGTCCAATGAAACTGGAACCAAATTGAGGGAAGATGCTGACAGTGTCCCATGATGACAGCTCATGAGCAGAGCAGACAAATACAACTTCTCTAAAGTGCATGATATACTCAGAGGAACAAAATCAAAGACACCTTGTTTGTAACTAGATCCACCATATGTATGAGACTGCTCCTGAGAAAGAGAACTGAGCACCTAGAAAAGAAAAGCAGAATTAAAGTCATAATTAAAGTGTTCCTTAAAAAGAAAAGAAAATTTGAATCTGGCTAGGGTACGGGGAAAATAGGGAGTTGTTTGATGGATGAAGAGTTTCAGTTTTCCAAGTTGAAAAAAGTTCTGTAGATTGGTTGTGCAACAACATAAATGTACTTAACACGATTGAACTGTACCCTTAAAAATGGTTTAGATGGTAAATTCTATGATATATGTATTTTACCACAAAAATAACTAAAATTAATAATAAAAATGTGAGCCCTAGCCGGTTTGACTCAGTGGGTAGAGCCTTGGCCTGGGGACTGAAGGGTCCCAGGTTTGATTCTGGTCAAGGGTACATGGCCGGGTTGCAGGCTCAATCCCCAGTAGGGGGCATGCAGGAGGCAGCCAATCAATGATTCTCATTAATGATGTTTCTATCTCTCTCTCCCTCTCCCTTCCTCTCTGAAATCAATAAAAATATTTTTAAATAAATATAAAATAAAATAAAAAGTGGGAATCTACAGATTGAAAGGAAAAACAGATTCAAAAAGACAAATGCTGAGAACTGGCTTAATAAAATTTCTTATATTCAAAATTTAAAAAAGAATCATTAGAAAGAGGGAAGGAGATTAAGTACAAACTTCCAGTTGTAAAATAGGTCACAGGATGTAAAGTACAGCCTAGCGAATACAGGGAATATAACTATACACGGTGATAGGTGAATACTAGACTTATTGTGGTGATCGCTTTGTAAGGTATAAAAATGTTTAATCACTATGTTGTACACCTGAAATTAATATCATATTGCATTTCAACTATAATAAAAAATTAAAATTTTAAAAAAGAGAATCATTGGGCATTCAGGTAAAACTATCAGCATAGCTACTTAGGAACTGAGGGGGAAGAATCTTATATAATAAAAGCCTAATATGCTAAGTGTCTGGTCAACCAGTAGGCCGTTCGACCAATCAAAGTGTAATATGCTAATGATATGCTAAGGCCGGTCAACCACTCGCTATAACATGCACTGACCACCAGGGGGCAGACACTCAGACCCGTAGGTTAGTTTACTGCTGGGGTCCAGCCAATCGGGACTGTGCGAGATGGGCCAGACACACCCTGGAGCCCTCTCGCAATCTCTCCCCAGCTGGCCAACCTCCTGGGTCCCTCCCCAGCCCCGATCGTGCACAAGTGGGGTCCCTCTGCCTGGTCTGCACCCTCTCAGAATCCGGAACCTCTTGGAGGATGTTGGAGAGCTGGTTTTGGCCCAATCCCACAGGCCCACACAAATTTGTGCACCAGGCCTCTAGTATATATATATTCAGGCTGGCTTCAAACTAACACTAAAAGGGTAGAGAAATCCTTTCAAAGTCCTCTAGAAGAAGAAAAATGAGACCCAAGCATTTTGTACTTCCTCAAATTATTTTACCAGTCTAAAGGTGACAAATATTTTCAGCATGCAAGAATTCAAGACATTCCATTCCTATGACCCTTAAAAAAAAACCTATTAGATTATAAACTCTAGCCAGCCAAGAGATAAATGGATAAAATGAGGTAAAAGGATTAGCTGAAAGTGCTAAATTCATTTTCATGCAAGACAAAAGCTAAAATTGCTGAGGAGTTATGGTTACAGAGCAGAGGTAAATGTTATAAACTATGAGAATGTAACAAAAAAATCAGAATGTGAATGATGGGGATAGAGGAGAGAATGGGAGTTAATAAAAGTAGGCTAACTTACACAACTTTTATAGAATATCAAAAACTATTTTCACCTGCTAATGCAATAATAAAGCTATAAAGGAAAGCATGACAAGAATCCATACTATAATCCATGAAAATCAGATGGTAAAGAATTGAGTGCATTATTTGAAATTATAGTTAAAAAAGAATGGGTAGGACTATTAAAACTATACATCTTTAAATTATCAGAAAAACTACACAGAAAAAACTGAAATACAGTTCATATATCAAAAAATAAATAATAATAATAATAATAATAATAAATTGTTGAGATGGAAGAATAGCATTAC